GATGTGCAGAATGCGCACATTTTGAGGCAATCCTACAAGGATGTTATTTCCAAGGACTGACATCAACACTGTATATCAATATTCATCAGCCTTGATACTTGGTTTTACTGAGGTACGCACCTGATTTCCCCACGCCATTCTGTCCAACCATTCCATATCGAACCCCAGGCTTTAAGCGTAGGTGTGCATCAACAAGGAGCTCTTTGTTATTGACGCTGACATTAACCCCTTTAATATCGATATCGATGCTACTAGCATCAAAGGTTTCGCGATGAAAGCGACTCTGTTGCGAATAGGCAACAAGTTCCACAGCCGAGTTTGATGGCGCTGATGGACCGACGTTTTCTGGATTGGGCGATCCAGTAGATTGAGGTTGCTTCTTTTTGGATTTGCTGGTTCGCGATTTGGCGGGAGAAGATGGCTACGAAGAAACCCGTATCAGCCGTACCCTCAAGTCGGCACCAGAACCTCCAGCTCACCTTGGTCGAATCCGCAAGCCGCAGTGATGTCAAGTTGATAGTATCCATTGTGTTTTAAGCGGAATTTTAGATAATACGGTTGGATTGTAGTAGAGACCTCTGCCCAGAGGGTAAACCGGCAATCGCTTTAGTATTGCTGGACCGTGACTCATCCGGGGCCGACAAGGCGTCATGCCAGTCCACTGACAGGTTCGGGTGGAGAAGGAGAATCGCGAAGCAGAGTTTGCAGGACATGTCGTCTTAGGTTCCTCGCGACGAGTCATATTTTCGCCTCCAGGAGTTCCATGGGGCTCGAAGGTCGTTCAAGTAAGAAAGGTTCGACGTTGGCTGTTATTCAATGGCAGACTCCGGCCGCTCCGGCAATACTATAACAGGGGCCGCAAATGCCTTGCAGCCGGCAGATCTATATTTGGACTGGCGCCCAAAATGTAGCAGTGGATCAACTTTCAAGTGCAAAAAGCCGATAGCTGTGTTCCAAAGAGGTCTTTATCTAGGAGCAATGATTTAAAGCCTTTATGTCTACAACCGAATGAGTGGAATCACCCTCTAACTTTGGTCACGTCAACTTGCGACAGTTGTGGTTTTGTTTGTGCTCCCTCCAGCCATCTTTCAAGCATTGAGGGCTACAGAAAAATACGCGTCCGCGACATGCTCCTATTTCAAAGAAGCAAGTCAGCTTATTTCTGCGGGGGTGCTATACCATTGCACATATAAATAGAAATCGGACTGACCTCCACATTTTTTCCAAGGCCCCGCAGATCCGCATGCAAAACATCGTTGCCACGGCCCCGCCTTTGCCGTGCGGGCCTCTTCTTCGAGATCAACACCGTCGAAATGCCCTCCGGGAATGTCCATGCGCAACTCCCATAAATCACAGAAGCTCCTTGAGAATTGTTTCAGGCGAGACGGAACGTACTCTGTATTAATATATCCCGAGAAGAGGTATGTCTTGCCGGTCGCCGGATCGACTATGAGGTGCGCCCGGGCCCGATACGTTGGGAACCCGCGGGTGAGCACTTGCCGCCATGACGAGGGGATAGAGTCGACAGCAGAAGCACGACTAGAAGATGCACGTCCCTGTGGATCGACCGAAGATGATCTTGGGTTGTTGAAATCGCAGATGAAGGTGTCTGCGTAATAAGAATAGTGAAAAAGCTCGTTGTTTTGCCGATGGAACGTGGGCGCCGAGGGACTGTAGCCTCCAAATGTGACTACTTTGTCCAAAATTGGATTCTGTTGAGTAAGAAAAATCAATATCAGCCTTACGAAGACACTCGATTTCCGAAAAAGGCGGGAAGAAGAGAATATGACATACATAAACAGCAGCCATCTCCGTCCTCGGCGACGGCGCATTCCCGACGATCTTCTCTCGGGTCCATTTTCCCCTGGAATGTCCCAACTCCAGAGATCGTCGTATCCGTAAGACGTCAAGCCAGAAGCACCATGGCCTGACGAGCCAGCTGGGCACCCATCCGATTTGCATCGCCGTACATCACAAATATCTTGTTCTTGTCCTTCCCCACCCAGCTACACGCGTTGACACGTGGTCCTGGGCTGAGAAAGCTGGCCTTCTCTGGAAGGACGGATCCACTGAGACGGCGCCACTGCGCTGTACTCAAATTAAGTTCAAGTAGCAGATCACATCCAAGCTCTGCATCGTCATGACGTCCACCAAAGACATACAAGCGGTCGCCGACACACTGCATCACAAAGTCTTGCAACCTCTGCGATGGATATGGCCAGGACTTTTTCAGAGTTACGTCAGGTTTGAAGGTTGTCCTAAGATACTCCCATGAGAGGCTTTCAGGTCGAAGTAAACCACGTCCGGAGACCCAGTGAAGTAATATGCTTTGTCGTCAGGACCGACGACCATTTTATATCCAGCGAGTGAATCCACCCGACTTTCAGGAATAGGGCATGGAGACAAAGACTCCCATTTATCCATCTTGGAGAGGTCCAGACGCCAGAAATCACGGTAATAAGGACCGCCGGTAAACTTTTCACCACCAACGACATAACAGTAGCCTTCGTGCAAGCTTTAGCACGGGAATATCACTGGCGAGGAGAACGAGCGTACTTTCATGCGCAAAAACTCCGCAGCCCATTCGCGAGGTAAGTCCTCCTGGACTTTTTAATTCGATTTTCGCCCAGGAACCGTGGACATGGGATTTCTTATCGATCACCTCCAGCTTCGCGACAAGAGATGGCTCCGGATGGCGGTAGCATGATGTCGCTCTCAATTCCTTCCCAGCGTTATCAAGAAGACGATCCATCTCCGATGTTTTCACAGTGGGGGGGACGTTTGACATGGCGACTTGGGCTTGGAATCGGTAGTACACACTGGCGCCAGTATTACCAAGCTTAATGTAGGCATCAGCGAGGGTGTTATACATGGTAAAGACCTGGATGTAATGGTGTGACGTTTGTAGGTGAAAGTCGAACCAGTCTAAAGGAGATTGTTACAGAGGAAGACTCGGAGTAAGGAAGTAAGGAGGCGTACCAAATGCCGGATCATCTCGAATCATATCATAACGAATGTTATTGTACACGGTTTGACTTTCACCCAACCAAAGCAGAGCCTGGAAATAATACGAATGAGAAAGGTTTTCTAACACGCCATGGAAATACGTACCTGAGAATAGTCTTTCATTTGCATCAACGCTTTCGCCGCTCCAGCAAAGCACGACATGACATCTTGCGCGTCCCAGTTTTTGTCCAGGTCCATATACACCTTCGAACGGGCGTGTCGTACAGGAATCTTCGCTCCACAATATGTCTCTGCGCTTTCAAGATAGAGTCTAGCGGCTTGGGAAAATTGCTTTTCTTTCATAAGTTTATCCGCCCTGCAGCGGAGGAGATTGGCGCGTATGGATCGAGACAGCATATCCGTGGCTCCCTTCGCAAGAAAGGCGTCTCCCTCAGCTTCGTTCTTTAGCAACATTTGCACGCGTTCTTGTCCCAGCCGCACTTTTCTGGGGTCTCCAAAGGCACCCATAGGCCCCGGAAATCGGATGCCCGTTGGGGTAAATTCGATAGGAATGTCGCCAAAAACGTTTCGTGCAGCAGCAGCCATATTGGCTCGAAAGTTTTCATCCGCCATGTTGAAGATGTATCGTAGATGCTATGAAATGCGTAAACAAGTGGTTTAAAGGAGGAAAGAGGCAACAAGTGGGACTAGGCTTCAATGGGTCATTTAAATGAAGCAGTGGAGAGTCGCGTTTTTTTGCCTTTTCCCATCACGTGACACTCACGTCCGATTTTTTATTTTTCAATTTTTTGTCAAGGCGTTTCTGTCGCATTCAAAGTGTTTTACATGTTGTTGACAGTTATGCGCGTATAGGTAACCATATAACACGTCCGAATCCAGAGGACGACAATGTCGACGTGTTATTAAGACCAGTCACGCCACGCCGGGCCGGCCTGAGAATGCCACGCCTCAGCACGCTTGGATACTGCCTTCAAGCAAAAGCTCTCTAACGAAATGTATGACGGAAGATGCTCGCCTGAACGGCAGATCTGTATAGGCTTTGGTTCTCCCACAGGTTGATTAGCCAGTGCGTCTTGGATTGCAGTCACAGCAGACAGCGCTTTTTGGATGCACTTTCATCACCTGCCGTTCTCCACGCCCGTTCAACGAGAATTTCATTTGCAGACAGAGAACCTTCCCCACGTCTGCGGCATTATGTTCTAGCCACGCATTATCCTTGGGGTGAGAGGGGCTGCAAACTCTTCGATAAAAGCTTTCAGAATCTTTCTGCTCGCCACAAATCTCCAAATCCTTCCAACTTATATATTCTACTAGAATCACAATGACGGAAGCCGAATCATTCCCTCCCAGATACTATCAATACCTCGCCACAGAGCGTCGGGTATCCAATTGGGTGAAGCAGACCCAGTCGACGGAGCTGTCAGGCAGGATTCACCGTCATAGCTCGAAATCTACTCCTGGCACCCAATCTCTCGCTACGCATTCAAGTTCATTGTCCGTTCATCGCCCTTCTACTTACAGAAGAAAATCAAGAGAAAGTGGACCGCGTCCTTCAGAAATGAGACAGCCGTTTCCTATGTCCCCTGCCATCGCCCTTGTCTCCTCGTCCTTGTTCGTATGCGCACTCTTGCCATCAATCTTGACGGTGTCGGCATTCGTGCTTTTGTTAACATTGGCTTCTATGGAGAGCGAGGTATGAATTTCAGCGGGCGGCATGGCGAATGCTAACACGAAATCGTTGACGACTCAGGAAAAGAAGACCGGCGCCGAAAAAACACTGGCGCACAGTACCACGACACACAACTCAATCACTTGAACAGCATCCATTTTTCGGTCGAGGACTTTCGGATGCGAATTTATGTACGGTGTAATTATAATATATAGGTGCTGGCGTCATCAGTTTGCAGTAATTGAAGGAAGACTATGCAAAAATCCACTTGATTTATACCCGGCAGGAAAGGAAAACATTTGCACAAAAAGAAAAAGAAACAAAAAAAAACAGCAAAAAAAATTCATTGCATACGCTCAGTCGACTGCCCCGGAGAGACTTGAACTCTCGATCTTCCGATATCAACTCAAGTCGTAACAGTCGGACGCCGTAACCAACTAAGCCACGGGGCATGTGGAATTTTACGCGGATCAGTGCATCACGTCATGCCAGGGCCCAATGCTCCGAAATTCGGATGCATGGTCTGTAGTAGACTGTACTTATATATAGCGCCCTTTATACTTATGAGTCTCATCAATGGCTGGATAGTCCATGGACTAGAACATTAGGGTATATTATTACTTATATAGCCTGTAAAAAGTGTCAAATCCGCGGTGGCGCAAGAAATGGAGAACTTGGCGAAATATCTAGAATTTTGTTGCAGGATCACAGGTTCCAAATTACAGTAGTGCTTACAGTACTTTGGTACATAAAAACGCTGACTCGTAGAACAAATTCACCCACTTTAAACCGCTGGATGGGTGGTAGCGGTAGTGGAACAATGGGTCCCGTATCGCGTGGGCAAATCAAGACTGCGCTGGCGTCGTTGTCGCTGAACGTCGACGATGCACATGGATATTTACAGCATCTCCTGGCTTTCTTGGAGTAGACAATGCCTGAACCAAGGGAAGTGCAGCAGTCATTGCCAAGGACCTTTGGAGCCGGAGGATATTATCTGATATACGCGTTCATCGCAAAACCAACAAGTTAGAACAGACACGCACCCCAACGAACTTTCGAAGAACATTGACCATAAAGAACTTATTACCAAGATCCAGAAGTCAAACGGAGAGAAGCACTTGAAAAAGTTAAATTGAGAGAATCTCCGGAATACCCGTGGGTTCTGACATTTGGAACTGCGGTCCGGTAGCAGGTTAGGAAAGACCACGAAGGGATAGGAGGAAAGATGCTTACTGCATCGCTGAAGATTGTAACCACAACCCACATTGCGATGATCCGACATCCTTGGAGTGGAGTCCAGCCTATGGTATTGGCCTTCGCTGGGTATATAAGTCAGACGAAATAACCAAGGATTGATCACTGCACATACCACACCCCGCATCGTTTAACACTCAAGTTTAACATTTAACCGACATGTCTCCCAAAACGCTCAATCTCGGGCTTCTGCTCCTTCCAGGCTTTCAGTGGCTCGACGCCGCAGGGCCCGTCGATTACCTCAACAACCACTCGCACGCGGAAATCGAGAAGCTCATTCCCCTCGGAGAGGATAAATCCATGCTCGACAAAGCCCCCTACATGAACTGGCACTACATCTCAAACGACCTCTCGCCAGTGCACGCTACCTCGGGTCCACCCCAAGTTCCGACATGCACGTACGGCAACTGTCCGCCGCTCGATTACCTCATCGTCCCAGGCCCGGACCTGACGACGCCGCTCCCAGAAGGCTGCGCCTTGTTCCTCCAGAAACTGGTCGTGGATGAAAGCTTCAAAGCGCTGCTGTTGTGTGCACCGGATCTCTGGCGATAACCCCGACCGGGATCCTGGACGGTCTCAACGTCTGCAGCAACAAATACGCGTTGCGGGCGTTGGCTAAAGCAGGGATGCTTTATAGAAAGGTCAAGTGGGTTGGAGACAGAAGGTGGATTGTGGACGGCAAGGTGTGGAGTTCGGCAGGAATCACGGCGGGGCTCGACTTGGCTGCCGAGTTTGCGAGAGTCCACTTCGATCCGGCGTTGGTGCAATTAGGGAAGGACTTGAGTGAGTACACGCCTCTTCCAGCACAGCCAGACGCGTTTGCGAGGCTTCTCGAAGGCGTTGACTTGCCTTGAACTTGGTGGAAAGGACATTGGGAAATGGTTCTGTATACAAGTGTGCTGTATAAAGAGATTCGTGTTCAGTTGTAAACGTTCAATTACACCAATAACGTCGCGATGAAAATGACCAAAGTGAACTCAGTTGGTTATTGTCTGTACGGCTGACGGCGTGGCGCTGAATTTCGGCCTCAATTCATATTATGGGGTTAGATTAGAAGCTATCGAAGAGTCTGTTGATGATGAGAATGCATGAAAACTATAACGATATGAACGCACATGGTCCTGAATTCATAACAACGCCTACGCTACTTCTCACTTCGAGACTACTTTTTCGTCTTCTTGCTCTCAACGAAGAGTACGCGGGCTTTCACTGTTTCAATCCGCCTGAGTATCTTATCTGAAGAGAGGAGTCAACGAGCACACCTTTTGGATCATACTTGACAGCAGAAAGCTTCGGTCCTTGACGAAGTCGCTGGGTCGTGTAGAAAAAGCCTGTTTGCGCCGTGGATATCATGCGCACGATGAGGGTTCTGCAGAATGCGCGTAAGTTGGATGAACGGTGCGTCGTTTTATTATTGGATATCTTGCCTGGCTTTCGCCTTCGGGGCCATGGTGGATTTGTAGTAGGTCCGCAACGAAACGAAAACTGATTGCAACTTCCGGTGTTTGGCAACGACGACGGGTCATAACAGACTATAAAAGTCGCGTTTCTTTTGAATTTTTTCATACAAAATTTGACAATGCTGCACCGTGTACCGGCGAGGAGTGCTATCTGTCCGTTAAAGTGTGGATCCTCCAAAAATTCCTTTGGCTGGGCAAGCAATTCGCAGCGCTTTCAGACTCCCCGCGGACGTGCCGGCCCGGCCGAAATAAACGTTCTGTCATCCGAAAACCAACTTGTTCCCAACTTATATAATCTCTACAGTCTACATCTGGCTTGGGAGCAATCCTGGCACGGTAACAGCGACAAACTGAGCATAGACATATGTCAAATGGCGACACTAACTTCCACGGCCATCGATTTGATCAAAGGAAATCGCAACTGGACAGCAACTCAAGAGAAATCAATCTCGCAAGAATATCCTTTTCAAATCCAAAGCGAGCCATTGGATCAATATGTTGCTCGTACCTACCTTCAGTTTCTTTGGCTTCCAGAGGTGAGCGAAGCATGATACTTTAAGATGGCGGAACTTAACACAATCACAGTCTCTCATGCCACTTAACCTGCTCGTTCCCTCGCTACGACGCGTCAATGTGCCTCAACATCAAATTCAGACGCGTCTGTCCATTCAATGCATGCATTTCTGGAACCATTATTACAGACGACACGCTCGACGACGATAAATACCACGTCGAGCTCCCCCAAATCCTGGCGGACGGCGGTGGAGCAGGAGAGATGGAGGAGACGATGATGTGGTATGCCCTGGCGCATGAGAAGGCCGACGAAAGCATATCCGCTACTCTTGCCTCAGCAGAAAATGCTGGAGGTCCTTGGGTAGACGAGAAATGGCGTGAGAGGTACTGGAAAGGATGGAGAGACGAGAGTAAGTTATTGCTGCTGGTTCCACGTCAATTCTGACGGATTTCTGGCAGAGTTCAGATTCAAATTCTGCTTTACTTCTACAAACTTTCATTGCCCGGACTGCCTCCGCAGACTGAATCTCCAAAGAAGAAACGGAAACGCTCTCGCAACCCTCCAGAACCCACCTATACGGCGCAAGACCATTTAGAAGTATTCATGGACAGACTTTCGACGTGGCAGCTCGTCGGGGCTCTTGACCATGCCAAACCATCCTCATTGAAGAACGAAGAGCGAGATTGGACACAGGTATTCGTAGAAGATGTGGTGGAACGACAGTACGTGGCAATGATTGTAGCTCAAGCACGAACGTTCATTGTCTGTCCAGGTTTACACCCCATCTACCCGAGCTTTGCTCTCTTCTGCACTCCAAAGTCTTCCCAACATCCCCCTTCTTGGACGACGAAGTATCAAACGCGCCCACGTCGCGTAACCCCTCCCCAGAGCCGATGTCAAGAGCTCTATCTCGCGCGCCGTCAACATCACGCCTCCCTTCGCCCGCCCTCTCCACCGCATCGCGAGCCACGACCAAGTCCAAGTCCTCAACTGGCACCCGAGCGCTGGTCCGCTCACGTTCGCGGTCTCTCTCCGTCTCACTTGCCCAAGAACAAGAAGAGAGGGAAAGGCCTACAACGCCCCTCCGAAGAAGCGGATTTTGAATCGCGAGGTTAGCATGTCGCGCGTGTTCAAGCCTAAGGCCAAACCGAAAACAGAGGCGGTTGTGGTTAAGACGGAGGCTCCACGTTGCCAAAGCCCAAGCCCAAGGACCTGGGGGTTACTCTTGTAGAAGAGACTCCGTGAAGCTGCGTGTTACGTCGACAGCAACGCTTTCTTTTGGTCAGCCCTCCTTTGCCATGAAATTACTGGGAAAGGAGCAGGGCAACACTCATTCGCGTCTCCCTGTTTTGGACGAAGACAACGACGACGATGGAGAAGAGGAGTGGATGATGGACAGTTCGCCTGATATCATGCTGTTGAATCCGACGCGGAGTAGTAGCACGAGCAGTGGATTACTGGGATGGATTCGGATGGAGAGGCGATATTCATGCAGGGCAGGCTACGCCGACCAAACCTTCCAGGGCTCGACGACGGTAATACTCGTAGTGGCTAATGGACGACGACTTCGATGCTTAGGCTCACATGACCTCCCAGGAAAGTGACATTTGTATTCTGAGGTGTGGAGCCACATGCCAATCAACCTCATCCTTACACTCTGTACTGGCGATACATGGATAGTTTTATGTGTACCTCGCTGAAATTGTGCCGTCCTTTTCAATCATGATCGACTACCCTCGAAGTACGCAGTCTAGTCTCATGTATCGTTATGTCAGGGGGCACGGCCAGCACAGCCCCCGTCAACCATTTCTACCCATACAGTTCTGAGATTCTATCCCAGGCTCTGGCTTTCAACCTCTTGTTCATGTCCTCCTTCTTGTGTCCATCGTTCTCAGCAATATCCAACGGCCAATGTTCTCCGAGGCTCAGAATATTGTAATCACGGGTGGGACTTTACTACGCATGTAGACCGTGGAGAGGAGATAACCATTTCAATGCGGCGGGCAACGTTGATGCTAGCCAAGCTAGAGGTACGGCCAGCTTTCACGCCTTGCTTGAAGCAGGAAAATTCTAACAAGCATCTATCAGCTATGGAGATACTGCGACAACATATCGCTTCTGGCGCCTTCCATGACTCCGCCGAGCGGTTCGATCCGCCCAAATGTCATCCCCAAACCCGACAAGCCATCATCAAGAAGATCATGGACTGGATCGAGGATCCCGA